CATGGAGACTACCCACGACCTTAAATCAGAATGCATTTTATAGTTGTTCTTCAGATTTTATTCTCATTAGTAATATAATTCTGACAGGTAATAGAGTGTGGTCATTCAGAGCATGAGTCTTGGAGTGGGTTTTGACTTCAGTTCTTCCACTTGCTAGCTACATGACGTGATGTGATTATTAATCACTTTAAGCCTCAAACTATAAAGTGGATAATAACATACTCATTTCATAGGTCTGTTGGGAAAATTAAATGAAATAATGTATATCAAGTGTTTGGCACATAGTAAATGTTCAGTTGGTATTAGTTATTATTATTTAGAACGGTAAATATAATGCATACGTGTATATATACATGTATGTAATAGAAATTATCCAGCAGTTTTTTGATTTTTATTTGCTGTTATTATTACTCCTGTCTCTTTTACTGTTTCTAATTTAACTGGAAGATTACCTTTCTTCAAAGAAGGAAGATGATAGCCCACCTAGCTGGAAAATGTGACTTAATTATGACTATTCTCCATCAGCTTGTAACTGGGTTTTCCCAAAGAATTTTTGGGTTACGACTTCTGTAAACCTCCAAAATCTTTATTTTATGGAATATTTAACTCTATCACTTATTTTCCCAAATTGTGTCTAGGTCCCCTGGGTCTACAGAATATGTATCCCAGATGCCCCGTAAGAAGGGTGGTTTTTAGTAGGCATGTTGACGTTATTTGTACGTAGTAAGAGAGTAGAAAGAATCAGAAAAGCTTTGGCATTTACCTTGTTAAATTTTTATAGCTAAGCTCTGGTTCAAGGGTCTACTTAAACAACTTAACTGCACTAAGAAAAATGAGAGCATTGAGACCAGTGAAAGGAGTTCACAAAATTCTATGAAAATGAACCAGTTTTAGCAGATATCAGTACATTCAGTGATCCAAGATACACAACTAGAATATTAACTAGTTTTATTGACCTGAAGGAAATTTACACTTTTTTTCCATAAGGACAAAAAAAAAAAAATCAGGGACATTGTCCTTTATTATATTGCCAAAAATTATTTTAATACATTAAGTCACCTCAGATAATTTTGAATGCTTATTATGTATCAGACATTACAATGGGTCAGGGAGCACAGTGGTTTTCAAGGCACAGTTTCTGGTAAGGTGCCCTCAGCCACAAGAAGGGATGAGACCTAAAGAAGAGGCAATTTCAATATAAGTTGATGTGTTATGCAGGATCAATCCCAGGATTCCTTTGCTACACACAAAAAAAGAAAACTCAGTACAGTTCTGGGGAGATAAGGAGAGGAAAGTAAATAAAAAGTTGGCTAGGTGATTCTAAACAAAGGAACAAAAGTTCAAGAGCTCTGATGCATAAAAAAGAAAAAAAGTGGGAATATTCAGTGCAGTTTTGTATCACGTGAAGAGGTAGTGGACAGACATGAGAATTTGAGAATTTGAAGAAAAGTAGGCTTTTATTCAAGGCAGGTCTTATGTACCAATATTAGGTAGTATTCTATATTCCAGAAATGGTAAGTTGGCAGCTGTGAGCTAAGTTCAGCCCTTGGATGTGTCTTCATTATTAGATAGGTTGCCATATTTATCGTATGTAAAATTTCTCACAAAAACTCAGATTAGGAATTCTTTTAGGGGCGCCGAATGGCTCAGTTGGCTAAGTGTCTCACTCTTCATTTCAGCTCAGGTCATGATCTTGTCATGGGATCCAGCACCTCGGGCTCCTTGCTCATTGGGGAGTCTGCTTGAGATTCTCTCCTTCTTCCTCTGTCCCTCCCCCCACCTCTCTCTCTCTCTCAAATAAATACATCTTAAAAAAAAATTAAATCTTACAAAAAAAGGGATTCTTTTAAGAGATCAGGAATTCACATTGGATCCGTGTTGCCTTGTCCCTGAGAAATTGCTTTTGGAAGTCACCACCCTCTCCACTTACTTCACTTATTAATATCAACTGCCAGGCCCCTGAGGCATTTGTATGTGCAAGAGAACTACATAATTAAATTTGCTCTAATGTACTGGTCTGACTGATATTGGAGGTATCAGTCCCAGAGGCGGGTGCACTACGTAGGAGATTTCTTTGGTAATCAAAACAAATAAGGAGGGACCCACAGAGGTTGTGGTGGGAGGTAGAGGAAAGAATAGAAGTTACCCTTCCTAAAATGGCATAGTGGCTTAGGTGATCCAAAATGAGATAAAGGGAAGGGGGAAGGGTGACATTTTATTTTCAGGTTAATCAACTTGAGTGTGATTTTCTCAGTTTGGGATCTTCAAGAAACAGACACCAGGAGGGAAGTAGACTTGCCTGCCAGTGAAGGATCCAGTCAGGGAGCAAGAGAAGGCATAGGGAGCGTTCAGATTGAAGTTCCTGTCTGAGGCTTATGGAAGGAGAGAGCAGACGAGTGGGTTGGTAGGGAGCTAAGACTGCAGTGCAGCTTGGAAAGCCTCAGGCAGGCAGGTGGGATGAGGCAAGCTTAAGATGTAAGACAGATGAAAGGAGGCTGTCACCAGAGAAGCAATGGCCTTGCTCTAGGACTCCTGCCACGCTCCCCGGCCTGGAGTTGTGCAGGGGTTTCTGAAAGTACAACAGCTCGAGGTTCTCAGCTAATCGCTCTCCTTCTAATAAGTTCTCTCTTGTAAGAAGATCTGAAGAGTGAAGGCCCAGAGCGGACTCAGGGGCCACTAACAGAAGGATCAGGTTTAAGTAAAGAGAAAAGAGTTAAAAATGGTTGTCTATAGGGAAGACGAAATGGGTGAAGTTAGCAAGAAACTGATGTTTCCTTAATAGCTCTTTAGAACACTCTGCTTCTTACGTATTATATATGTAAGTAAAAAGGACTTAGGGCAGAAACTGCTCAATAGATTCCCCAATCTCTTTACTTTTCTATTTAAGCACACCACTTCCTCTACATTCTTTTGCAGTTAAATACAGCAATATGAGCTCTAGCCAACGGAAGGAGAGAAGCGATGGGTGCCCCTCACAGGCAAGGCTCATAAAATCCACCACAGACAAGTCTCCCTTCCATTTTACTGGCTGGAATCAAAAGATTCCAAGGACTTAGACTCCACAAGTGGAAGAGAGTGTGGGATCCGAATCACTGCTAGTAAAGGCCACCTGACAAACAGCTACTCTGGGTAATTCTATATTTAACATTATGTTGTGTTGCTACTTTAAGTTGATGAGATTCGGAGACTTAACCATTAACTAGCAGCTAGCATTAACTTAAGAAAATTAGTTCAAGATAAAGTTATATGAATGGATACCATCAATAAAGATGTATAGATCTTTGTATCCTCTCAGAGACACTTCTACCTTTGAATTATTTTTTTCTAAAGCTTCAGACTCACATCTTCAATACCTATTAACTTATTAAGTTTGGCAAACACCATAAATTTGCCAAATTTATAATTTTAAAATAACTTTTCCTTATTCCTTACTTCTAATGGTGCCATCATTTCCACAGATCATCAGGGCCTACATTTTATGGTTCATGTTGATTCCTACCTTTTGAGTAATTGTTTTATCACATTGATAAGTTCTGCTAAATCTCTGTCTTTGTATGCATTCCATGATTCATATTCTTTTGCCACCGTTCTAGAGTAAAGGCACAGCTTTGTGCCTATGGCACCCAAGTAGATTTCTACCATCGAATAGTCTATGACAGCCTTGCCCCAAACCATTTTTTCAAATTGCTACTGTCACTCTCCCCAGAACATTCTTTGGATTACGGCAGCAATTATATTATAGAAATAACATTAAATAAGAAGGTTCCAGCTTGAAAAATATCTATTTGTCTACTTACTAGAAATACTTTGGGAAGCTGATGTGGACATTCTGAGCCTTGATTCCGTCATATATTAAAAGTGAGTAATCTGTATTCACAGGATTGTTGAAAAGATTGAATGAGTTGGTTTGTAAATAAACGGTAATAACAAAACACCTATTTCATAATAGTGCTTGGTGCATGTTTATTGAATGAATAAATATATTCTTCTTTACTTCTTCCCCTCCAGTCAATGTGATCAAATGCTATTTCTCCTTCAAGGTAAGCTTAAATCTGACCTGTTTTGTGACATCTCCCTATCGACTTTATCTCTATGGAATTCTTGATAACTTACCTTGCCTTATATTATTAGTTAGCTTTTTTTGGTTTTCATGTATAATCAGCTTCTTTAAATAGACTACAAATGACGATGGACCTACTTTATAAGAAGTATCAGGTGTTACTTAGATGCTATTTGCAGTTGTGGTTGTTTCCTTTTCATTTTTGTTTTATTGGCCTGTCCAAAATTCTTTCCCTCTTTTTTCATAAATGAAATTCTGATTTTCTTTTGGACATAAACCACTCTGATACCTCTAATCCTGTAGATCATCAATTCCACTTGACCCCATCCACTGTGTCCAAGGGCAAGCACATGACTAAGTACTTGCCAATCTCAGTATCTCACTCTCCTTCTCAAAATAATTCACAAAGGGCCCGTGAGCCAAGCAAAGCATGAAGGCAACCATTATCCCACAAGAATGACAATGTAGAATTAAATTAACTAGAGCAATATTTTAAAAGATAGTTTGCAAACTAACTCAGTTGGGAGAAAAATAGGGTCAAGTGAGGAAGACAAAGAATAAAAGACTTACTCCTGGATCTTACTGGATCTCTCAGCTAGGAAATTTAGCTCCAGGCTTTTAAGCCACATGGGCTCAAAATTCTCTTTTTCTTTAAGCTAATTTGCTTTTTGTCACTTATAATCAAAGATATTTGCTTAATAAAGCTGTGCTTTTTAACGATGAAGATAATATTTACTACTTATTTTTTCTAGCTTATTGATAATGAGATTTACACAAAAAAGTGGATTATATAACATGAATCCTCCTCACTAATAGAGAAAAAAGAAACAGAAGCACATTCTTTGTGGCTTATATAAATTTCATTATTTTGCTGTTTAAATAAGTACATGTCTTATAATATTTAAAAAAGCTTCAAAGACCACTTCTGTATTCCAATCTGTAAAAAATATTTTCATTATGTTTATTATAAAAATATAAATGTTTCCACTACAAATCATTTTACATTAGTAAGAGGCCATCTACATTGTACCATATAAACTAAATGAGTAATTTTTGAAAATACAAGTTTAAAGTAAATACATATTGCCAATCATATCACATTTATACATGGCTTAATTGATACTTAGCACAGCATAAACTGGGCAAGTTACCAGAAATAAATAATATATGTAAATCAAATTTAAGATACAAAACAGATAATATGGTACATGACATTGTGAAGAAGTGTGGTTTCATGTTTATTGAAAGTCAATGCAGGTCCTGTACAAAGAGATGGCCATCAGCATTCTAGTACCTCTACTCCACAGTTAAGAATCGTACACTGTTATGTTTACATATGTACAGGGTAAAAAGCGTGTAAAGTAAATTTATAAGGGTCAGATAGAAAAATAGTGGAAAAAATGAAGAGCAATATACTGTGTATATAATCTCTACTTTCAAATGGAAACCACAGCCAAAAGAAGTGAAATAGATCTAGCAATTCTCAACTTCTATTAATTTATAAAATGCACAGATTTTGAGTATGCTCAGAATAGTACCTAAGAAAGTAAATGCTAGTATGGGAAAAAATGAGATTGAAGCCGGGTTTAGGGCTCGATGAACATTCCACAACACAAACAAAATGTCTGATTAAAAAAAAAAAAAGTCTTTTAACTGCTTCTAGCAGGCATAAGTGAAATTTGTAATTAATTTCATAATCGCATATATCTTTTTAAAAATTCATGCTCTTATATATCCAATACAGAATTCTAGTAGGATGATTTGACTATAAGGAATATTGCAGAAATCTAAGAAATAATCCCATACATGAAGGAACACAACCTAAGCCTTATTACACTAAATTTACAACAGATTAACACTTGTGAAGTTTGATCTGTGACTGTAAGCTGTAGAGTGTCCCATTTTGCATAAGAACATAAGGGTTGCAGCTTTGATTTATTCTTTCAATTCTTGTGACATATGCATTTCTTATTTCCTATTCCCATAACATGATCCCATCAGCGTTAGAAAGAATATAAATAGAACTAAAATGTTGCTTCACAATAGATTAGTGGCTAGATCTCCATCAGGTATATCTTTTCAAATATTACTGAGTACACTCATATTAGGTCCTATGGAACAGTAAATCTAAGTTCCTGCAATGGGAGATCTCTCCATTGTCTACAGATTTTGAGTCATTTGCTAGATAACCAGCTCGTTTGAAAATCAGATGCTCAACAAATGCAGAGAAGTTCATAGCTTCTAAGTTATACACCAAAATTACAACAGGTGTATTTCAGTGGAAGACTCTTAAAGATAATAATACCTGCTATTGATGATCAAAATGTTTAATTAAATTAACCAAACCTCAGTGATGCAGATGAGTAGTTTAGTTTTCATTATTCCCTGTAAATAGCTCAACAACTTTAAGCAAAGATATTAAGTGACATTTCAAAGCCAGTCAGCAAGTGATTTTTTGACTCATTCATTGGCCTCTAGGCTTTATTGCCAATTAATGCAGCAATCTAAATAGGATTCCAATTTTTTCCAGTGTAGCTATTCTCTACCTAGGAGCTCTAATGTAGCTCCTTTACTAATGGAGGGAGGTGATGGTCTCCTAAGCACCAGAGCAGGGCAGGTATGTCATTGAAAATCCATTACATACAAACCAGTATATTACACTAAATTAGGAGCATACCATTTGTAATAAATGGAGAGACAAAAATGGATGGGATAATTCAAACAGATTTGAGTAGTGTATAAACAGGGAAGGGGTTCGGTTTCTTTCTTTTTATATATGGATATAGGTACAGAAAAGCTGTTGGTTCAGAAATTCTGAAAAGAAACCCATCATTCCCCATGTCTAGTTTACCATGTTTTTTAACTGCTGACAATTTGAAAGAACATTTGGCACTTGGCTGTAACAAATCCTAATTAAATCATCAAGGCATAAATAGAAAATAATAAAAAAGAATTCAAAAGAAAATAAATATGTACTTTTCTTCAAAATTAAGACATTTTTACATGGTAATACTTAAGAAGCTAACAATTAAAAATGTATAGTACTTAAAACAACTACAGGCTTCACTTCTAAATGCTTTTAACAGATAAAAGAGAAAAATACAATGGAAAAGGTAGTATATATGGCCAGATAGTTTGAGGTATAAATTCCTCTATTTTGCTTGCTTTTAAAGAAACAAAATACCTGCTACAGATTTCTTCTGTGTATAAAAATATCACAAGTCTTTTCTTTTGTGGCTATTAGTAAACAGAGCCACCATGTTCATTTTGTTATTACACTTGTTCTGCTTTTATGATAATCAGTTTATGATCAATGGCTCTAGGCTAGTTCTTCATCATTCCACGCTGAAGAATTTTAGTTTAACCCATCCACTAATATAAAAAAGCAATTACAAAACAAAATAACCCCCCCCCTCCCATCCACTAAACGGTAGGGGAAAATAAAGAGTCTTTCAATTCCATGTTAAGGCATTTGTATTCATATCTGAGTGTCTTATTGGGCTTGGACTTGCCACCAGCATCTCCAGCGTTATCGCCTGTCTATAGAATGATGCTACATCTTCCACAGCCACCGCTTCCTTCCAGAAATAACACTTTACACTGGAACTGGACCATTTTTTGATTGTGTTTCTAGAGCCTTAATGCTACTGATGATTTTCTTCTGTGGACCAACCACAGTGACACCAACCTTTTTCATGTCACTGTGAAAAAAGAAGAAAATGTCTGATGAGAATCCTGGTTTCCTGGAGAGTATGTAAACAGAAGATTTTCAATCAGCAAAGCTTGCATAATCATATATCCCAGCGCTTTGAACTTAATTTTCTGATTTTTGCATCATCCATGTACTATATCCTGATCATTCCACCTCTATCTTTATGGAAGAATAGATGGTTTAGTGGGTTGACTAGCATCCCCTCGAAATTTCTGTCCAACTGGAACCTCACCATGTGAACTTACTTGGAAATGGAGTCTGTGCAGATATAATCAAGACAAGGATCAAGATGAGATCATACTAGATTAGGGTGGGCTCTAAATCCAATGAGACTATATTTAGACACAAAGTGACACAGACAAGAAAGCCATGTAGAGATGGAGGCAGAGATTGGAGTTATGTTGCCACAAGCCAAGAAATGCTAGAATGTACCAGAAGCCAGAAGAGGCAAAGAACGATTCCCCTGCCCCAGAGATTTTGGATCAGTATGGCCCTGTGAATGCCCTGATTTCCAACTTCTGACCTCCAGAAATGTGAGAAAATAAATTTCTGTGGTTTAAGACAATAAGTTTGTGGTAATTTATTATGGCTGCCCTAGGAAACAAATACAGATGATCAGAAATTCTTTGCAGGGCATTAACCTATTTCCTTATATTTGAGCCAGCTTGGGGATCACTTTCACTGCAAGAGTATGCTGGAAGTGACCCTGTATCAATTTCCATATTCAGGTCTTGAGAAACTACAATATTCCGTTTGTCTCTTGAGACACCCTCACTGGGCCCTGAGCTGCCATGTAAGTCTGACTACCTCGAGACTACGACACTGGAAAGGCCATGTGTGAGCATTTAGTCTACACTGTCAGCTCTGCAGCCGTCTGCACCAGGGCAGACATAAATGAAACCATCTCAAGCCCTCCAGACTAGACCAGATTCATGTCAGATGAATGCTTCAGTCAACACCAACGTTAGGGCAGAAGAATCACCCACCTGAGCTCTGCCCAAATCCATAACCCATGACATTGTTATATACAATAAAATTGTGGTTTTGAGGTAGTTTGTTATTGTATTATTGTGTTATTGTGGTTTTGAGGTAGTTTGTTCTTAGATAACTGGAACAATTTCTTTAAAGTATAAATTCCTTTCCAAGTATAAGCAGTGACTAGGATCTATTTCCATTTATCAAAAATATTTAACTTAAAATAGTTTAAACTTAGAAACCAGGCATAAAAATAAAGATTTTAAGAACAAAAGGAATTTCATTTGGGGGTGCGGAGAGACTTAGCTAAGCATGTGCAAATGATTAATTAAATAACCTTGATTCAAGGAATTTGTTCACATATTCACCTCTTTCAGGTCTTGACTCAAACATAGCCCTCTCGGAACACCTTCCCTGACCTTCCTATTTAATATTGTGAAACCTCTTGCATTCATACCTGCATTTCCTATTTTCTTTTCTTGTTTCATTTTCTTCCAAAGCATTTATCACCATGCAGCATATTGCCTTTCTTTCTGATTTATTTTCTTTATTCTTTATCTTGTCCCACAAGAAGGTAAATTCCATGTGAACAGGGATTCTTGTTGGTTTTGTACTCTGCTTATCAACCACACCCTGAACAATGGCTATCATTTAGTAGGGGCTCAATATCTACTTAATAGGGAATGAACCAATAGTCTAAAATATGTTTACCTGGGGAAGGTGACAGAGGAGTAAAGTATCACTTAGCAAGGAGTGCCAGGCTAATTGAGAATGGCCAGAAGGAAAAGTATGCATGCAAATGCGTACACACACACACACACACACACACACACAGAAACACACAGAAGGGGCTCGTTCACATTGATCATAAAGAAAAGAAGGAAAATTGTGAGTTTTCAATTACACAGAAATGGACCAATTGATTTATTAAGAAATGGGTTCCCAAGCAACAAACGTGTGCAAGCAGACCCTGGGTAACCATTTTAGAAGCAATCTACATGATATTTATGCATCTGCTACAGAAAATTAACCAAGACTGGGTTGCATTCCTATCACCTAGGCTGGGAATGAAATCCTGATGACCTGCTGGTTACCTTCCTACTACCATTCAAGGGGCTGATAAATTCTCAATGTACAACTTGTATCTTGCCTGAGGCCTCTCTGATTTTACTCCAGCAGCCTTGCTTCACCAGGAAGACTAGTGGGGAGATATGGTGACACCAGGCTTGCCACTCTGTGTAACTGTGGATAATGAAACTCAATTAGAGTAACATAGGCTGTTTATGAGAATATGTGAGAATATGTGTTGTACAAGATTTTGCTTCTTTATATAAATATATAGATAGATTATATCTTATATATATATAGATTTTGTTTCTGTATATATATACACACACACACCATGGATCTATCTTTTATTTATTTATTTATTTATTTATTTATTTAATTTTTTTTAAAGATTTTTATTTATTCATTTGAGACACAGAAATACAGAGAGAGAGAGAGAGAGTATGAGCAGGGGGAGAGGCAGAGGGAGAGGGAGAGGGAGAAGGAGGCTCCCCGCCGAGCCAGGAGCCCGATGTGGGACTCGATGTGGGGCTCGATCCCAGGACCCTGGGATCATGACCTGAGCCGAAGGCAGACGCTTAACCATCTGAGCCACCCAGGCGCCCCGGATCTATCTTTTAAATGAACAACAAACATTTTCTTATCCCTTATCCCTAAACTATAGGAATTTAGAGACCGAAAACAGGGCAAATATAAATATATTTGTACAAATCAGTAGATCCTTAATCTTTTTGTATTTCTTCTCTCATCTTTCTTCCAAATCTATATTATACTTTTTATGACTTGCCAATTTTTTTCTCTGTCTTCCTTTTATCCTTCTTAAAAAACCGGGACTCCTGGGTGGTTCAGTCAGTTAAGGGTCTCCCTTCAGCTCGGGTCATGATCCTGGGGTCCCGGGATCAAGTCCCACATCTGGCTCCCTGTTCAGTGGGGAGTCTGCTTCTCCGTTTGCCTGCCACTCCTCATGATTGTGCTCTATCTCTCTCTGACAAATAAGTTAAAAACATCTTTAAAAAAACTTTAAAAACCAAAATGATAATCATGGAAAGCAGGAAAAAGAATGTTTCAAGTTAATATAATAAATTCCAAGCTCTTTGAGAAATGTAAGCATAGTAAGAGAGTAATATATGCTATGATGTTTGGTCCTGATCCTCTTTATGGAACTGAAGCACCTATACCCCAGGGACTAGAAAAAATAAGATGATGAGAGTTCACAGATCAGTTTGGGACAAGGCTGAAGGGCCAGCCCAGCTCCAGGACTCTTGTTCCTACAGGAAGGGACAAGTCTTCTCCTTTAGCCCAGTGTCCCCCTCATCACTTTTCCCCCCCTCATCACTTTTTTTGATAGATGTATATCCCAAAAGCACTCCTCAAGAAATCTTGTGCATAAAACTATTTCAGATTCTGTGCCTGGAACCCAACATAAGCAAATAGATACATAATTTCATATATATTCAATGCAAAGGATTCTATGAGAAAAGATAAAGTAATTATCTCTTTAGATTATACCTTAGCATGGATTTTTACGTCCCCTCTATCCTCCCTACCCCTGTCAAAATGTCTCCTACCCCCAGCCTGCCAAGTCCAAAGTAGTTGTATGTTTACAACTCCAGCTCCTGCAGTCTAAATAACATTCCCACGTGCTTATCTCATTTTGACTACCCTATTCAGAAGAGCAGTGGAAAAGTTCGAGTCTAAAGAGCAGCTCAAGATGGAGACCAGAGGTTAATAAGCTATCTGGATGGCACTTCAAAGGCAAAGGATAGGTGATGACACTGTGAGAATGGCATCCAAGGGTGCAGGAGAATGACCTGTAGCAATTAATCCGCCTAATATTCATTCCACACACTCAATTCTCTCTCCAGTTTCTATAAGCACTCTCTCCCTTTCTTGTTCTCTCTTCCCCCTTCACATTAACCTCCCTAAATCCATTGTAGGCTATGAAATAATATTTTAAAACATGCGTTATTTTGACTGAACAACGCTGCATATTTTCTGGATTTCATTTGAAAATTAGATGATTAACTTGCGTGTCAATGAAGTCCCTACACTAACTGAAACAGATAATTATTTATTTGGATATTAAGCTCTACTGATCTTTTTCTGTAACTTTAAAGTCCGGATAGAAGAAAAAAAGAAATTCAATATCCTTTTTTGGCATTCTGTTCTATTTCAAAAGAGTTATTTGGTCAAGAAAATCATTTCCAAATTGAGTCTGGATGGCACAAAGGAATCACATTTAAACAAAAAAGCCCAAGACTGCAAAAGGTAGAATGAAATACCAAATTAAATATTTTATAACATTTGAGGTAAAAATGTTGCCTCATTCGATTTCCCCAAATTGTGTATTATGTATTTCTTTATAAATTCTCATTTTTGTTATATAAACTAGGAGCATGAAGGACAACACACCGCAGAGATACACAAGGCAAACAATTATTTTCAAGGAGTTTTAGGTCGATAGATGTTAATTCTACGCTGTCCCTGCATTGGAGGAGAAAGGACAGGAGGAAAAACATTGTGGGGATTGAAGTACAGAGAGATGTGGAACCATCTGGCTTAGTGTGAAGGACAAATCTGAAAGAGTGGAGTCTCCCAGGAAAAGTCAGCTTTCAACTTCCCTGTACATTCATGGGTCGTTCAAATAATAATAATTAAGTGCAAATATTTTCACCAGCCAAAGAGAGCTCACCGTCCAACAATGGACTGTGGAGACAAATGCGCCCCAAACTTGGAAGTAGAACAAATGCCCCCACTTCATCGTTTTAAGCAAATAGCTTTCTTACCACATTCACAGCTCCTAACATCTAACTCTATTTAAACTGTGAGCTAGCAGTTAATCATATTAACAGTGTTCTGCTAATCCACTTCAGTATGCTTTTTCATTATCTCAAAGCTCTGAGTATTGATATTTGATGGAGAATAAACATTTGTATACCTTTGCCTTTGGAAATCTGGCAATGGTGCAGAAATGTCCAACTTTTGTGTTTGTTTTTTGCTATGCTTCTGTGCTATGAAGCAGGTGACTTGTAGAGCATAACCCTAATTGTTTACATTACTAAAATAAGAATTTATAAAAATATCGAAAAACATTAATATATCCTGAGACTCTGTCTCATGAAAATAACTACCACAGAAACTCAAATAGTATTGTTGATTGGGTCAGAAGTCTATTCAATAAACATTACATTCCACTTCATACAGAAATGGCAACATGTGTCAAATAGACTGGAGTGGGTTTATTTTCTAAGAGCACATTCTCCTTTTCAGTAGAAGCATACCCTTCCTAAAGATCTTTTTGTGAACTTTTGTGTTTCCGATTGGAATGCTATGTCGTAACTGGTAAACTTTACCTATTTGTTAGGCACTTGTATCTCTATTAATTACACTGTAAATTACACTCTATTAATTACACTCCTTTTTGATACCTAATTTGTGGATCTCCACGGTGACTTTGTTTAAATGACCAACGGGGTGACCATGAAAGTCTTTAAATATTCAACATTTAAATATTAAGATATTGGATGGAGAGGATAAGACTAAAGGAACTTGTGCATGGAAATGCAAAAAAAAAAAAAAGTCACTGTGCAAAAAAAAGAAAAACAATGCAGTTACATTAGGAAGTGAATTAAATTGGCTTTCATTCACAGAGAGATGGAGAATATGGCTTCTGGCTCTTCATTTTCCAGTTCCCAATTACTATACCCTGTGAGTGAGGACTAATTTTATTGAATATATACTGGATTCACTTGATTCCTTATAAACCCCCTTTTCCTTAAGCCCATGTGATCACATCAAAGAATTCCTATTAGGAAAATCCCTGTCTAAGAAACACAGCATGTTATACTTGATATTTGACTTTTACACATGGAACCATAAATTAATACTAATTAATGCATACTAATTATGCATATCCTATCTTTCCAATCTGACTATAAGCTTTTTAAGGAAAACAATAATATTATGTCTTAAACATATTTATAACTTCATTTTCTAACATGATACCCTTCACAGGGTAGACACTCAATAATAGATGATGATATACAATTATTTAGTAGATGTGAAAACTACTTTTAGACTTTAGTGTGTTTCCCTGTATGCCAGCTTATCCACTTACTTCTTAAGTTTTCCACTTCTATGGAGATTAGGCTTTGTTATAAATAACAGAAAAGCACAAATGCAGGAATGCTCTAATCATCATGTTATGATTTCTTATGTCTTAAATTAAGAACTTGGGTCATTGGGGCTGGGAATGGGTATGTATCTGTTGGTCTATCTGAGAAAGGTCATATTCAACAAAGATACCTATTGCGGGGAGCTATGGTGAGGGAGGAAAGACACATCAACACACATAAATCTAGAAGGTGTCATTGACAAAGAGGCCCAGGACTGAGCTTAGTGGTTACAGAAGACAGTAAGAACCTCAGAGGTTCAGCTAAGATGTATAACTCATTAATCCAAAACATGTATGTCCACTAGAAATTACAGAATCATTCAGTCTTAAAAACTTTCTCTTACTCTGTGGAAATCTTGGCTATGGTGTCACAAGAACTGTACTCCACGCCTGTGAAGATTTCCTTGCACTGTGCTGTCCGGACACCATTAAGCCAGTCACCTGTTGTGCGGAAGGTAGTGATGTCAACGTTGCTTTGGTCCAGAAGAAGGTTTGATGGCCTGCGAGAAAAGAAAACACCAAAGGAAGAGAGATCAGGAGTCAGCAGAGTTGCTGCGTGTCAAAATTTGACACCAACATCAGCAGGAACTTCCAGACTTCATGTGGTGTTCCTGTTTATTTGTGGAATTTATCTGCCATGAAGCCTTCATCTATTCAAGCTGGCAGCTTGCAAGAATACTGTGTAATCATCTTGTCTCAGTGCGTCCCTTCTCCGCTCACGACCGCTTTGTAAATCATTGAAACTTTGCCAGTGGAATGCATAAATAGATCCATACATACTTCTATAATTTAATTTCTTTAACTATTAGCAAAGATGGTGGTAATTCAGGATATAGTTATAGTAGACATGACATACTGAATACTTAGATGTCTGGAAGTTCATTTTAGACATTGTACAGGTTGCTGTCTAAAGGACAGTTGAATAACCTAGATTGTAATTACAGCAGGACATAAAGTCAGAACAGATGTAAATAATGTCACTTATGTCATTAAAAATAAAAATCACAAAAGGAATAGAAAAAAATAGATGAGTAACAATAAATGAAATTCTCACATATATGACAACATCAAATGGAGTTCATGATATAGAAAGATGAAAGAGAGAGAGATAAATAGATAATAGATATAATGACTATGGTTTATATTGCACAATACAATCGTCATTAAGGGAAACTTCTAGAATTGTTTTATATAATTACAGGTCTGACCATAGATCTATGACCAACTGCAAGATCTGGTGAATCAAAGGAACAGTAGGGACATAAAAGAAACAGAGGGGACCATATTTTTACCCTGGGAGAGCCAAAAGAAGCCGCCTATTGGTAAAATGCCCTTGGGGTGTTTTTTTCAGCTCTCAGTGACCCATATAATTGTCCTTTGACTCATAAGCCTGGGGCCCATTACCAGATAGAAAATTGATTGTCCTCTTTCTTTATGTTCTCCTCTTAAGGAAAGGAGCTTGAGCAAAAGTAGTTATGAAGGCCTTTGTTTTGAGATGAATATTAACAACAATGGCAATAATGATTACATTGAACATTATGCTTCTATACTAAGTATATTACACAGATATAAGGGCTTTAATTCTTACAACAGGTAATGATGCTATGTCCCTATAATAGATGTGGAAACCAAAACTAAAAGAGATTAAATCACAAATCTTGGTTTCCTCAGGCAAAAGAGGCAGAGCTGGGATTTAGATACAAGTTATTTTATACCAAAGCCCACACTCTTAGCCACTGTGCTGTACCATTTAGGTGGAACTTTGTTCATGTTGCTTTTCCCATGTTTTCTCTTAAGTTCTTTGTGGTTCCATGATGTGATCTCTTTGATTTTTATATTCCATAAAGGATAGTGGTCTAGTACCCAGGCACTGGAACTGTAAGTCTTGGGTTGAATCCTGGGTATAGAACATACAATTTTTGTGACCTTCAGTGATTTTCTATTTTTTTTTTAGATTTCTTTTTTTTTTTATTTGACAGAGAGAATGAGAGAGAGAGCACATGAGAGGGGGGAGGGTCAGAGGGAGAAGCAGGCTCCCTGCCAAGCAGAGAGCCCGATGTGGGACTCTATCCCGGGACTCCAGGATCATGACCTGAGGCGAAAGCAGTCGCTTAACCAACTGAGCCACCCAGGCGCCCTCTTTACTTATTTTAAAGAGCAGAAAGAGAGAGAGAAAGAGAGAGAGAAAAAGAGGACGTGCGCACACAAGTGGGGGGGGGCAGATGGAGAGGTAGAGAGAGAATTTTAAGCAGGCTCCACATCTAGCAGGAGACCAAGAGTCCAACACGGGCTCGATCTCATGACCCTGAGATCATGACCTGAGTCGAAATCAAGAGTTCAATGTTTAACCGACTGAGCCACCCAGGTGCCCTCAGTGGTTTTCTTATCTTGTCTGTTTTCTCATCTATAAAATGCAAATGATGATCACAGTAGATTTCACACAATTGAAGATTAAATAAGGTTTAAAAAAGATTATATATGCAAGGGATACTCAGAGATGTGTGGACATGTAATATGGTATCAGTTAGCTATTTGTTATTCTGACGTAAGGTAATGCATCTAGTCAAATGGTTGAAGCTTTTAAAACTTTAAAAATAACAATAAATCCCAGTTTATAAAAAATACTAGGAATGTGGTGATGCTGTTAATTATCCTTCTGAGCAACTAGAAGTTTAGTCATGTATAATTTTATGAGCATAATAGGGCAACAACCTTGTAAAGCAGGTATAATTGGGGACCTCATTAGAATAGCTAAGAACTTTTGCAAGCTCACAATGATTCTATAACCAATGCTTGCAAAGGATATGCTATTCTGACTTCTGTAGTTTCTGTTTTCATTACTGCAATAATATATATTATTAACATTACAACTGTGTGTCATAGCCTAATCTTTAACTTATAATTGAGAAGGTACATTTAGATTTTTACCTTTTCAAAGTTATCATTCAGAATCTTTCATATTTTGTGATACTGCAGTTGAACTGAATCAGCGTTGAGCTCTTAAAACTTTTAAAAGTTATTTAAACAATCCCCAATATCAGGATTTGTTAACTAAACTTCATATCTTCTTATATATTAAAAATTAATACTTTGCCTAAATGAAATCTATTTTTTGAAGTGCTTAAATTCAACATTTAGAATTTTCAGAAGACATCAAAACAAATGAAGACTATACTAACATGCATTTATCCTTATTTTAGAAGCAAATTCAGCTCTCTAAAGTACCAATTCAATAATATTTTTAGAAATAGCATGAAATAAAAACAAAAGGAACCATCCTGATAAAATTAAACCTCATAGTGTTTTATCTATGAATACTAACCATTGATTATCATTTAGGAAATGTAGTGAAGCTCATGTTCTCAGGAGAAAAAACTTTCTGTAAAGCAAACCTACACATATGCCAACTCTACCGACATTTAAAAGGAATTTTTAATTGGGAGATTTCTTTGTTTTTTTTAAAGATTTTATTTATTTATTTGACAGAGAAAGACACAGCGAGAGAGGGAACACAAACGGGGAGTGGGAGAGGGAGAAGCAGACTCCCTGCCGAGCAGGGAGCCCGATGCGGGACTCGATCCCGGGACTCCAGGATCATGACCTGAGCCGAAGGCAGTCGCTTAACCAACTGAGCCACCCAGGCGCCCTAATTGGGAGATTTCTATTACTATTGATAATATTTCTCCAACTCACTCCCAGAGGAAACATGCTTAAGTGTGAAGGCTAATATTCTCAAATCTGAACAATTTTGTATCATGTCCTAACCCTGCATGCCGCTGTGGGAGATACATGAAAGACTGTAAATTGACAATCCATCTGGATTTTGATGGGGATACATTAAATTTTTTGGATGAAAATAAATTTTTAATTTTTTATTTGATAAAAATGAAATGTTAAGGGAATTTTAATACTGAGTTGAAGAAAAAGTTGGCAACATGACAGTTTGGTTCTGTCTGTATTTTTATCCTCTGTGAAAAAAATAGCTCAATAGCTAATTTCCTCCCTCTCGTGATCATTTATAAAGAGGAGGGCAGCTGAAAATGGACAGCTTTTCAACCTTCTTTCCATTAAACTAAACTCAACTATTTCAATTTTCGCTACCTCAAGTATTTGATTAACAAATTAAAAACTAAAATTATAGAGTTTATAATTTACATTTATATATAATGGTTTAGTTTTAACTAAAGCTCAGAGGTTATCTTTAAAAAAAGTAAAAAAGAAACAAAAATTAGATATTATTTTAAAAATCACTAATTTTGTTTCCTTCAAGGAATACCTAGAAAACTACACAATATAAATAGAACATTGTATAAATTATTCTCTTCGGGGGCATTTGTATAAATAATTTTCTATGACTCTAAGTTACTCATCTGAAAAAAGGTTTATTTTAATAATTGAAAATTTCTCGGTTTTGTTTTCTTTCCCAGGAATTTGAGGAATTACAGATACAGATACACAAGCCAGATTCCAAAATTTACACGATATTCTTGGATTGTTTTAGCATGGCCCTCATGGGTGAAATAGCTTTTGTCACTAGCCAGCATTACATAGAACACTGGACCCTTCAGATAAGTCACTGAATTAGCGAACAAAATTGATAGGAATCCCATTAAATCAGGTGTGAGACAATTTTATAAGAAAAATGAAGTCATACTTAGAAGACAATAAAATATTAAACCGTCTACAGGCAAACGGGCACACGCACGCGTGAGCACACACGCACGCGCACACACACCCCGCAGCTTGTATTTCTACAGTAGCTGTAGCAAAGAATCTAATGTCGACTCTTGGTCCCATGAACAGCAATACTCCTTTATTTATGGGTTTGTGGGTATGAAGAATCAAACCCCAGGACATTTATTCAGAATATTTATGAACTGTGCCTAATAGTAAAATGCAGAATTTTTTTCTTCTCAGTTCAAACTGGTTTGTATTTTTAAACTCAATACTATAGCCAGACTCAACAAGAGTTTAGAGAAAATTAGTATAAACAAACTGAAATGGAACAGGACGTGCAGATTAGGGATTAGAGTGACCCCAACTGAGTTTTTCTGTTTATTACTTGGATCAAAGTACAATGAAGACAAAGAATGGCCTAATTTTTAATGCCAGTGACCTCAGAATAACCAGCCCTGCAAAGACTCATTTTTCCACTTCCAGGATTTCTCTGGGGAATTCAAATAAAAATTGGTTCCTTTCCTCCTCGGAGAGGACATCTGGAGAGTTTATCAATGGATAGGAATTTGTCTCTCACTGTGAAGAGCCTGTGATGTCTCTTCATGCGCACCAAGGGAATGTGCACTTTTTGAGCAGATGCAGACATTGGCTAATTTTTCTAGACCCAGCCCCAGACTTGGGTCTGAAGGGGAAATTTATAGGCTGGGTGATGTGCTCCGTGAGCTCACACTTTTACTAGACAAATTAGATAGGTTTCAATCCATGCAGCTGTAAATGATGTCCTGCCGAGTTCCACCTGATCTTTTACAGCTTTTCATAAATC